CGAGAGAGAGAGAGAGAGAGAGAGAGAGAGAAAAGGGGGGGGGGAGGAGGCTTTGGGAGACTGTAGACGACATAATGCTTCGGACAGAATTTTACTCTGGGGAAACATAGAATTCCTTGGATGCCATACAGTACGTACAGCCAATCCAGGGTAACCCAACAAATCAAATCAAAGTGGCTATGCGAGTGTGAGTTTAGGCATTCTCAAGTAATGTCAAGCAAGTGTCGGTGACACGGGGATCAGATGGGTGGTCACTGAGGTGTATCCTTGGGCAAGACAAACCCAGCTCAAAATACAGGGCGCTGTAATATTGTGTATTTATGTATGTTATGCATGTACAATGTATTTATGTACGTACGTATTTATAATTATGTATTTATATAATAATATATAATAATATATAATTGCCTTAGTAAACCAAAGTGCCCTTCTGGGACAAATAAAAAGTGTAATTAAAAAACAACTACAACAACACATAAAACAGCAAACAAACAATACCGGTAACAACATTTTTAATCATAAAAAACCCTCACACAAATGAAGTGTCTTTTGCATAAATGTGGTGAATAGGTAGATCGAAGTAACATGTTAAACAAAATAATATCGAGTATTTTCTGTGCCGCCTGGCTTCAGGTCAGGGTCGCTGTTGAAACATTGGGCATTGGGCCAGGAAGACAGATAAGATATATTGAGAACCTTCAAGGAATCAAGGGGTTGTGGAGGGACGAGGTGGTTGTCAGTACATCTGTACTTTGGTCATACTAGAATGTCTAACGTTGGCAACACTGCAAACAATTCAACCGTTCCTTTATGCTCGGGCAATGACAAGTATTGGGATTTTCGTCAGGACGTATACATTACCGAAGAACGAGGCAACACCCAAGCATAGCGGTTATCTCAAAGTCATAATATTCAAGAAGGTGAGAAGGGGAACTTCGATTCTAAGAAGTCAACCAGGGAACTTCTGAGTAAGTAAGTCATTGTTGTAAAAAATTCTAGTAGGCTAACTATATTACAATGACAACTTCAAAGTTTTTAAAATGTAAAATGCATTTTCATACTCTCTCTCTTTCTCTCTCTTTCTCTCTCTTTCTCTCCCTCCCTCTCTCTCTCTCTCTCTCTCTCTCTCTCTCTCTCTCTCTCTCTCTCTCTCTCTCTCTCTCTCTCTCTTATCCCCCCCATGAGAATGATCATCCTGTCCTCCCCTATCACGCCGCAGTCTGTCTTATGGAACGCACCAAGGGTATCATCATCTGACTCCCAACCTCCTCTGGCCGCTATGGGGTTAAATTAACAACTGGTCGCTATGGGGTTAAATTAACAACAGGTCGTTATGGGGTTAAATTAACAACTGGTCGCTATGGGGTTAAATTAACAACTGGATGCAAAACAAGCATGTTAACTCTTTAAACACGTATCGGACACTGCTTACTGATGTCCGACAACAGACCAAACGCAATGTTGGGCCACATTCGAACAATCATGAACGCAAATCAGAAACACACACGCCAAGATGGTCTTAATTATGATGATGGGGGCGTAAAAAAATCTACACTAAATATCAAAGAGAATTACATGATAAAGTTCTTGAAGTTACAGTTGTCCAGTGTTTTACAACCCCGGATCATAGAAGACAGGGTTCCTTGGCCTTGGCTTATAATGCCGTATCAAGCTGAGTGCCATACCGCATCCAAATGAAGAGATGGAAGATATTCGCCTTCTCCTTCAGTCTCTCTCTCTCTCTCTCTCTCTCTCTCTCTCTCTCTCTCTCTCTCTCTTTCTCTCTCTCTCTTTCCGTCTCTCTTTCTATCTCTTTCTCCCGGCTCTCTCTCTGCCCCTCTCTGCCTTTCCATGTCTTTTTTTCACCCTACACACTCTCCCTCGTTCACTCTCTCTCTCTCACTCCTTGGTATTTAAGGAATTAATGAACCTCAACGTCCAGTTAATATGTTGAAACTGGACCCCTTGTCGCGGCACAGCCCGATCTAAGGTGATCTATTACCCTCCCGCTGGGTTATAGCGGTCAGAAAGGACACGACTAGGCAATGTGTTCAATAAACAGTCAGTTAAACCAAGTACTTTAGCCACTGAATATTCATATTTTGTACTTAACATCATATTATAAGGGGAAGTTGTGAGAGAGTGATTAAGAACATAGGCCGCTAATAGGGGGTGCCCACATATGCGATCGGATCGGGTCGGGTCGGGCCGATTGGGTAGTCGGGGCTAGCCAAATTGAAGGCGCAAAACGGCCATCTCGGCGCAAACCGATTGACTCGGTCGGTGACCTGCTAAAACAAACGCGTTTGTTTTCAGGCCTGCGAATCGCGCGATCGAGTGGTTTGCAGCCAATCACAACAAGGCTGAGTCACGTGTCCATTTTGACACCATGGAGATAGCTCCTTGGTTGACCCTGAAAATCCGGGGGCGCCTTCTTTGAAAAAGTGCAGACTTTGCGAACAGAGTTACCCTACTTGTGTGAAAAATAATAAAAGCGAAACTAACAAACTGTGCTATTCCTATTCTTCTTCTGGAGAAACAAAAGAGAGCTCCAAAACAAGGACTGCAGCACCGTCTGAACTAATTCGCGGACTTCCGCGGATACCTTTTTGGCCGAGTGAACTAGAGCTATCTTCTTATGAATGATCTTTGATAATAGAAAGTTATCGATGTAACTATTGTAACCATGTTTATTGGATTCCAAGGTCCCGCAGCACTGCAACAGGGATCTGCGGAAAGGAGCCCTGGAAGCGATTAAGGCTAAAACATGCGACTACATAGAGGGCGTAAAACGGGCTCCGAAACTTTGACCCATGAATACATTAAGTAGGCTTACGGTACTCTGGGAATTCCCGGTTCGGTCTCACGCCTTTGACCGTCTTCTCACTTCTCACAGCGGGTTTGGAGCGCTCATCATAGAGGAAGCAGAAGACGAATAAGAAGAAGGAGGAGGATGAAGAATAGTAGATGGAGGAGAAGGAGAAGTAGGAGGAGGAGAAGCAGGAGGAGGATGAGCAGGAGGAGGAGGAGAACAAGAAGAAGATGAAGAAATAGAAGGAAAAGAAGTAATGCATTTTACAAAATGGGGACTTTTTCGTTTGTTGCCCTACCTTGAGAGAGAGGGAGAAACACAGAGAGAGAGAGAGAGAGAGAGAGAGAGGGGGGGGGGGATCAGAAAGCACAACTGAGGGAGGGTGATGAGAATGGCAGGGAGGGAGAGAGATATTTTTCGGAGATATAATATGCAGAGACCTAGCAATGTTTACATGAGTGCTGGAAGTCCAAGTGTACCGTAGGCCTACTTAGTGTATTAATGGGTCGAAGGTTCGGCCAGTCGTAGCCCAGTTTACGCCCTCTATGTAGTCGCATGTAGTTAAAAGGTTTTTCTACTTTAACTTCCAAGTCGTCGGGTACAATCGCAACGGGGTTGTAGTGTGCACTGAAGCAATCAGAAAGCGACCCGACCAGATGACCTGGCTCGACCCGACCCAATCCGCATTCGCTAGTGGGCACCCCCTATAAGAAACCCGGCACGATTGTATTAATTGTCTACTTTTTATCTTCATTGTGGTCATCATTTGTTGCCGGGAATAATGTTCCTAAGGTTATTCAAGCACAGAAAATACCTATATGAAATTTTCAATTCATAGGACTATAATTCTATGGGACAATTTTTACACTGGCAAAAGCAACGTAACACACTGCCTTTTCAGTGGCGAGGGCCACAAGAATTATACTATTGTTTAATTCAACGAAAATCTACGCGTTGACTGCTAATACGTATTCGCCAAAAGAATTAACACTAAATTATTTATAAGTAAAGCCGACGGAGAACGGGGATATTTATATAGGGCCTATTTATAATAGACTAAACGGTTACTTAACGGAACAAACAGATTCAGTGACAACGATTACAAAATACACAAGATGGATTTTTTCCCCCACTGTTTCGGAGTACTTGTAAGCAATTTTTTTACCGACCTGTGACGATGACCACCACTTGTGTTCGTGTGTGTGGTAAGATAAACTGTGTTCATCATGCAGTGGCTTTCTGTGTCTGCTCTTACAGTATTTGGGTTCTGCTCATGCTCACCAATGTGGCTGTGTATTATATTATAGCAGCGGAGACAGCCCCTGCTTGGGTAAACAGAGACACGTGTGACAACGCCTGGGTGAGAGTCAGGTCTCCTTGTTCAGAACACATGGGCCAGACAGGTCCACACGTCAATTGCAGCGGGAAACATTTAAAGGAAATCAATGCCGCTTGGTTTCCCTGCAACGTGAGCAGGCTGTCACTAGACGGCAATTCATTGGTTATTCTTAAGAACACTTCTTTCCTTCGTCTCTACCAACTTCTTTGGCTTAATCTTCGCGGATGTAAAATAAAGAAAATCGAACCGTCTACTTTTGACAGTCTCATCTCTTTAGAGTATTTGGACCTGGAGGATAATCAGTTGGAATTTTCCAAGGCTTATTTCCCATCTCATCTCTTCGCTCCGTTGACTGAATTAAAAACACTGAGGCTGGCGAGGCAAGATAGCAAGCCATCACTCTTATTTCCCAAAGATTTGTTTTCGGATCTTAGAAGCCTGCTAGGCATTTCCATTAGTAATATGGGGACAGGCATTCTTCAATTTGGTCCACAATTCTGTCAACTTAGTAATCTCTCTCGTTTGGAAATCACAGGATCAGTCACACAAATAACAAATTCTAGTTTTGACAATCTTGCATGTCTCACCTTGATGGAGTTATCTCTATATGGACTACAACACCTAAAAAAATTTGATGTGGATTCACTGAGACATTTTAACAACAGTCTACGCTCACTGCATTTGGAAAGGGTATATATCGGTGTGCAGAATGCTTTAGGAATTTTAAAACCTTTTCGCGGTCGTAATATGTATGAAATATATTTTAATAATATAGGTTTATCAAGCACGCACTCTGATGGAGCAATTACGACAGGGGACGGAATAGTTGATAGTGATTCCGTTATATACCTAAAGGATATCTGTGTCGAAAGGCTTACGTTACAAAAAAGCCACATCTTTGTGCTGAAACGTTCTGCTCTTCCAGTGGGCCTTTTATGGAGGTGTCTCAAGCATTTGGATATTTCCTTCAACGATCTCCAGCTCTCCACAGGTATTTACAGGATACTCCAGATGCCGCGCCTGGAGACTTTGGTGATTGTTGAAAGACATCGAGAAAACACCTTGACCGACGAGGACCGCAAGATCATCGCCAGACAAACGCCTCTTGTGAGTTTCATACCCCCAGACACCCGGTCGCAGACTAACAGCAGAGAGCGTGTGCAGTTGGGACCCAGACGAATGTCTTGCCGATTAAAATATCCCAGCGACATACGCCGGAGAGGACGGCGACAAGTAACGAGAACATTCTACACGTCTGGTAGTCTGAGAGCAATTATCGTGTCTCTTTCCTGCACTCGTTCCAATCATTTTGGAGGAAAATATGTTTATCATGTGCACTGTGAAAACATGAAGACTCTTGTGTGCAGGTACTGTGGCTTGAATGATATGACTGGAGAAGTGACTGGACTGGAGCACGTCCAAAGATTAGATGTATCGCATAATGATTTTGCTTTCATATCACCCAGCTTTTTAGAAAAATTCACTGGAGTTGAAGCCTTAACATTATCATACACCAATCTGGACTCAGATTTTATGTCGAGGGAAAGCGAAGTATTTTTTTCGCCTTTAGATAATTTGAAAAGTCTGGATCTGACCTCAAACTCTCTGACTATGCTTAGCAAAGGAACGTTTCGAGGTAATGAAAAACTTGAATCATTGTTCTTGGGGCACAACAAATTTCATCAAATTCCTTTTGATATTTCCTTTACTCCAAGGCTAAAACATTTAGACCTCGGGTACAACGCCATTCTCCAGCTGAGCGAGAGACAAAGACAGCAACTAGACGCGCATGTGCTCAAAGTACCGGAATTCCGAATGGTGTTCCAGGGCAACATGGTGTCGTGTAGCTGTGGGGCCATGGCTTTTCTTCGATGGCTTCAGAAAACAACGGTGGTGCTGGATAACAACGGTAACTACACTTGCGTCACGGAACGGGGACACCTGAGCTCCATCTCAGCGTTCAGAGACATCCACGGTATGTGGCGATGGTGTTACAGTGGGTACTTTTACTGGATTTCTCTTCTGCTCGTGGCAGGAATGCTAATCGTTTTTCTTATGGCGGCTCTGGTGCTACGACACGGCAACTACTTCCGCGCTGCCATTTTAAGGCTTTTGGACAACAAATTCAAAATGAAATCACGGGCGGATTATCAAATATGTGTTTTCATCGGCTACGCTGAAAAGGACTACCGATTCCCTTGTCTTCGTTTGCTGCCATACCTTGAAAGTCTAGGCATGACTGTGTATGTTAGAGATCGGGATAGTTTGCCTTGTCAAGATGTGCCTTCGTCTATCATGGACGCCATGCAAAGCAGCTGGAGGATCGTTCTAGTTGTCTCGAAGGCTTTCCTTACAGACGACCAGTGGTCAGAGTTTACAATGAGGTCAGCTGTGTATTGTCAGAGTCCCAGCAATCCGGCTCGGGTGGTGCTTTTGGTAGAAGAACGAAACAGAAATCGCCTTCCGTTGCTGCTTCTAGGGGCCGTGGCTGACGACAATATTGTGTGTCTTGGTCGATTGCTTATGTGTTATGAGCTGAGACAACGACTGCAGGTGCTCCTTAAGCATAACTAAATTGTAATCATATATTTGTTTCAACACTCGACATCCGGGTTCTGAAAACTCCCTGAGGTGTGTAATGAAAACCAACTTAACACTCAACAGTTCAAGCCCAAGAACGTCCAATGAATGATTCGAACCAAGGTCAGATGACAACTGAGCTAACGGTTTGCTGAGTTTCTGGTTTTGAAATGTATACGAGGGATGAAAAGAAGGGAAGATCAAACAGTTTTCTCCCTATCCGGGAAGGAATTGAGACAGAGACTTCAATTTTTCGCAGAAGCCATTTAATTTTCAACTCGCCGCCAACATCAACAATACATACTTCTCAATTGTATGTGACAATGAAAAGTCCTGAAGTGTACCCATATTCTGTTGCTGTAGTTAAAGTTGTTGCTGAACAACATTTTGATCAAATCTTGTATATCTATCTATCTATCTATCTATCTATCTATCTATCTATCTATCTATCTATCTATCTATCTATCTATCTATCTATCTATCTATCTATCTATCTATCTATCTATCTAAATATATAATATTTGAGTAAAAACACACGCACACACACACACACACACACACACAAACACACACACACACACACACACACACACACACACACACACACACACACACGTGCGCGCGCACGCACACACACACAAACATGTTGTTATTATTATTATTATTATTATTATAAAATCATTATTATTATCATTATTATAAAATCATTATTATTATTATTATTATTATTATTATTATTATTATTATTATTATTATTATTATTATTATTATTATTATTATTATTATTATTATTATTATTATTATTATTATTATTATTATCATCATTGCTATTATTATATTTCACATAATAAATACATACATACATTTTTTTACTTCACAAATTTTAAGAGCCTATAACTCAAAAACTACATATTATCCAATTACTTTGAAATTTTTACACATGTCAAGCAAGCTTATTGTCGTTCGTGAACTGTACTCACTAAGGTGCACTGGTCTATCATTTTGTATGACGATGTCACTCACAGGGTTTTGATATTTTGTCAAATACTGTGAAAATGTGTGGGTAACTTTGAAAACAAAAACTGCCCACGCAAAGTTGGATTCATTCCAAATCTTTCGCCAATTTAAAAAAATGGCTTTTCTTTAACGATTCACCTTGCTTCGGCTGAATGAATTAAAAAGAAATTATATTACTGAAAAGCTTCAGGTGGGCACTCAACTTTCGTTTGTCGCGAGAAGGTTCAACGTGAAGAAGAAACACACTGTGTTTGCCACACGGGATCCTATGGCAACGATGGGCTTCTAAAGAAGAGACCCAGAAAGACAAAATGAAGGGTGGACGTATTCATCCTAACGCAGCGCTTGAGAAATCAACATCAACCGGCCAACAAAGACCCAGGATAAGTCGAAAAGACTCAGAAATGGCAGTACGATCTTTGTCATGACTGTTCTTCTTTGTTTGAAAGAGGGGAACCTTCTTGCTAGGGGCCTAGTTTGTCGCATAAAACTGAAGCCCCACCACATCCAGCACATACTTTACTGGGCACAGCGTCGTGCGTGATGGCCACGTCGTATTTGGAATGCGTACATGTTTTCAGATACGTCCCAATTTCGACTGGAACAGCACAATGTACGGGCCAGAGTCTACAGAAGACCCATCCAAAGATACACACCAGCTTACTAAGTTACTTTAGACAAGTAAATAATTTCGGTGGAGGTTGGGCTGGAATCAGTGATGTTGGCGAGACTACGCTAGTCTATTCTTGGGAGCATAACACGCTTAAAACAGAGCACAAAAAATTCTGATGCTTTAGATTGTTACCTTTATCAACAAATTAATTGCTATATACGTCGTCACAGAGAGTTGACAGCTTGAAAATTAATGGCAACCTTTGCCACTTTTTGTAGCAACTTTTGGCAACTTTTGGACAAAAATGGCAACAAACGCAGATGCTAGATAACAGCTCAAGGCTAAAAGAACAATTAGTCTTCATACAAGAGTACAATATCGCCCCTCAATAGACAATACGTCGATTCATCCCGTCCAAGCGTCAACGATGTAAAGATGTGAACAACGCCAGATGTCAGCACACGCTTCTGAAAGCTGTCACTTTTCATTCAGACCCCTGACAACTATAAGTTCAACACTGAAGATTAAAAACATTCTTAACTATGTATTCCACGTGTCTCCATGGCTGTAAAATGAATGCACTGTCTTACCTGAAAATTTCAAACCGATTTGATAAGTATTATTCAAGATATTGCCTTTAATATGAGGTATGAAGTTAAAAAATGTTAAAGAAGAATGTTTTCAATCTTAAAATTTGAACTTACAGTTGTGAGGAATCTAAGTGCAAAGTGACAGCTTCAGTAACGAGTGTGATGGCATCTGGCGTTGTTCACATTTTCACATTGTTGACGCATAGACAGAATGAGTCCGGTTATTGACTGCTGAGGGATATTATTCCACTCTTGAATTAAGGCTTGTTTTTACGTACCAAATGTCCGGGGCTGACGTAATCTGGCACGAATGGCGCGATCTAAAATGTCCCACAAGTGCTCAATTAGATTGAGATTTGGTAAATGCGCTGGTCATGGGGGGAAGGAGAGGAATGTTGTTAGCTCTGAGAAATTGAGTGGTCACAGCAGCTTTAAAGAACAGGTGCATTATTATGTATGAATATTTGTCCCTGGGCTTGATTTTGAAAGAAAGGTACAGCACTGGGGTCGAGTACTGGTTGATGTAGCCTTGAGCTGGTAGGCTAACATTTTCCCACAAACAGACACAAGTGCAGTGGCGGTGGGTAGTGAAGGGCTTACGGGCTTGAGCCCCTCCCCCCCCCCCCAACTCTGTCACTTAGTTAATGAAAGTTTTTTAAATAACGAAATAAGCAGTTGAAACCGTTATGGTCGCAGGCAATGAACACACAGTTATCAGCTTGGCGCCTTGCCCGTTTCTCCAATCATTGCTGTCACCGCTTACAACTATAGTAACCTAACAGCCAATCAAATGTCGTTAGGGCTCAGAAAGAATAAGCCGATTCCCACGACCGTCTGTAATGAAACTCTTCTTGTAAAAAGGTAGAAGACTTAAAAAAAAAAAAACACTGCTCACAGGGCTCACGCTATCCCAGCCCTGACAATGGGGTGAAAGTTTACGACACACTTTCCCCCAGTGACACAGTTACCTATGCGCCCATTGGACCTTTGTTAGGCGCGTTCTATTTTCCGCAACAACACGACCCAATCCATCTCATAGACGGTATGTGTTTGGAGTGCTGTGTGCTTGTGCCTCTGAAATTTACAGTTATTAATTACATCAAACCACCTTTGAGGCAACTTTTTCTTCAGATAAAAACTAATTAGAGAAATTTGGAAGTGAAACGGCTTCGTCCACACCATCCAGAAGAGCTTAAATTTAACTAAGAAAAAAGAGATGAAAGACAAAGGTGACTCTTCTCGTTTGAATGGTTCTCAAAATGCCGTGGCTCGCCGTGAGTATAAAAAACCCATCACTGTTTTGTTTTTACTGCTTGCTTTTTTGGTGGTAAAGAAGTGGAAGAAACCTAAGCCCCACCCAAATCTTGGTCCAGCCACCGCCACTGCACAAGTGTGGTCTTGTAAGCATGGATGATTCCAGCTCACACCATGACACTGCTTCCACTGAAATTATTTGCTTGCTTGAGACAAAGAGGGATGCACCTTTAGTTGGGTCTTCTGTAGACTCTGGCCTATCAATTGTACAATTTCAGTTGTAATTAGGACTCATCTGAAACGTGTACATATTCAACTACGACGTTGCGTTCTCACGCGATACTGTACCTACCCTGTGAAGACTGTGCTAAATGTGGTAGGTCTGCCGTTTTATGCGACAAACTAGGCTCCTTGCACGAAGGTTGCCCTCTTTCAAACGACGAAAAACAGTCGTGACAGATTTCGAATTGTCATTTCTGACTCTGTTCAACTCATCTTGGGTCTGTGTTGTCGTTTGAATTCGATTTCTCATGCGTTGCGTTAGGATGAATATTTTTTCCTTCCGTATTTTTTATTTCTACGTCCTACTAGCTTGGGTCTGTCCTTTCAGTCAGGAGCCTATCGTTGGCAAGTGATCTCGTGTCGTATACACAGTGTGTCTGCTCACGTTAAACCTTCTCGCGACTGACAAAACCGGAATACCCGCAGCAGCATTTCAATACTGTGATTTCTCTCTGTGATTTATTCCGCTGAAGCATGGTGAATTGATAAAAAGAAGCAACTTTTTGATATGGCGAAAAAATTGAAAAAAGTCAATCTTTACGTGTGTAGTTTTTGTTTTCACGGTTACCTGCTCATGTTCACAGTATTTGATGAAATATCAAAACCACGCGGGTGACGTCGTCAGACAAGACGATAGAACAGTACACCTTAGTGAGTACAGTTCACGAACGAAAATAGTATAAAATTTAGAGTAATCACAAGTTTACTTTTCGAGATACTCGCTCTTAAAATGTATGAAGTTAATAATGTTAAAGAGTATGATATAATTATTATGGTCGCTTTTAAGGACCAAAAAAAAAAAGAAAAAAAAAGCGGGCTAACTCAGATTTCGGGGGTTTCCAGAATTCTTGACCTACCTGAAGGAGAAGTTTGGTTTCATTGGTGTGTATATTTGCTTGGTTATAAAGAAAACTCTCTTTGTCTTTTAAAGAAACTGAACAAGGATCCCAAAACTTTACCTTTGATTTTCTAAAAGCAGCATTTTTCGGAATAGCCCCCTTGTACTTAAAAGTGACCATATTATACCGAACGACATTAAAAACACGTTTTTAAAAAAGGCTATAAAAAGCCAAATATACTCTGATTAAAGAGGGTAAATAATATTTCTTTAAGAAAATGTTTGCATATATTATTATATACACTATGCTTATAATTTTTATTAAGTATATGCAGAGAGAGAGAGAGAGAGAGAGAGAGAGAGAGAGAGAGAGAGAGAGATGGAGAGAGAGAGAGAGAGA